ATATTTTCTCCTGTTTTGCTTTCTTTTGCTGTGCCTCTTCCAAATCTAAAAAAGCGAAGGGACCGACCTTCGGAACAAGGAAGTACAGAAGCCTCACCGTGTGGCCGCTTGCCCTTGCAGGTTCGTCCCCCAATGCCACCGACATGTGCCTCCCCCACCAGAAGGACCCGTCTGACACAGAGGACGTCTGCACAGAAGGCATGGAGAGAGAAAACCAAGCGGTCCTGGCCTTGCTCTTGATTGGGCAGACGCTGCTGGGGGTCGGCGGTGTTCCCATCCAGCCTTTCGGCATTTCCTACATTGACGATTATGCCAGCAAGAGCAACTCACCTCTCTATATAGGTAAGAGGCTAGAAACCCAGGCTAAGTTAGTAGGCTGGTGCTTCCTGCTAGCTGGCCTGAACAGAGAGGGACCTGGCCATGGGGAGGAGCAGGAAGCAGGGGCTAAAGAAAGATGGCATCATGGGGTTCTTACAGCCCCTCGCTTCTCTCCAGACTTCTCCAGACAAGGGAATTCCCACCTTCCCTTCTCCTGGTTTGTTCCTGCTTGCTTTGGAAAACAAGGGACTCATTGGGAGTCTACACTGACTCATGCCAACAGGCACAAATGCTTCTTGAGCCAGGTGCTGCTCCTGCCTCGACTGGGAAACAAGCAAAATGGAACACCCCTTTGCCGTCTGCAGGGGTGGCACCAGCAGCGGCATCTTCTTTGGCCTGCCTTCTTGCCAGCCCACACGCTCTGCCCGGGGGTGCCGATGTTGGGCTGCTGGGCATGTGTTGCTCTGGCGAGGGAGGGATATTGTTCGACTAGGTTTCTGTTTGTGTCTGTAAGGATACAGATCCATAGAGTCATAGAGTTGGAAGAGACCACTGAGGTCATCCAGTCCAACCCCCCCCCATGCAGGAACATCCATCACATGGAACATCCATCCCGGCAGGAACATCCATCAAAGCACTCCTGACACATGGCCATCCAGTCTCTGCTGAAAAACCTCCAGAGAAGGAGACTCCACCACCCTTCAAGGCAGAATATTCCATTGCCGACTAAAGGAGACTCCACCACCCTTTGAGGCATCCTCTTCCACTGCCGACTAGCTCTGACCATCAGGACGTTCTTCCTAATGTTCAGATGGAATCTGTTTTCCTGTAGTTTGAAACCATTGCTCTGGAGCCCTGGAAAACCAACCTGTCCCCTCTTCAACATGTTGTTGTTGTTTAGTCATTAAGTCGTGTCCGACTCTTCGTGACCCCACGGACCAGAGCACGCCAGGCCCTCCTGTCTTCCACTGCTTCCTGGAGTTTGGGTCACATTCATGTTGGTCTTCGACATGACATCCTTTCAGATATTTAAACATGGCTATCATGTCCCCTCTCAGCCTTCTTTTTGTAAGGCTAAACATTCCCAGCTTCCTAAGCTGCTCCTCGTCGGACATGCCTTCCAGACCTTTGACCATTTTGGTCGCCCGTCCTCTGGATACAGGATACAGAAGGATGTATTCTGTGCATCAAGATGTTCCCAGTCAGTTCCCTGGCACTCCTAATTTTTCTTTTAAAAAAAAGAATCCGATGGCAAACGGCGGAAAAACCCTTTCCTGTGATTCTGGTGAGGCCTGTCCATGTTAGCAGTTCCAACCTTGATGAGCAAAAAGGTCTATTAGGGTATTATAAGGCAGCTTCCTCGGTGTCTCTGCATGGATGGAGCCCACGCACAGCATGCAAAAGGCTCAGCCTGGGGCATCTGCAGCTTCCAGGAGCAGATAGAAGGCCATGGGAAAGAGGCATCCATTCCACGGTATGTCAAGAACCACAAGCAGTGCAAGAAAAGAGTTTCAAGCAGCAGGGAATAAGAATCTAACTTGGCAGAGAGCAGCACACTTGACATCCGAAGTGCCAACTCACTCTTCAGTGTGCGGAGCCCTGCAGGGTATGAATCGTCCACTACAGAATATCGATTTTTGACTCACGCAATGAGCACCGACCATCGAGGCAGAGAAAGAGTTTGGAGCCAGAACGCTGTCATGTAGGGAAGAAGGCAATCTTGGCCGGAAATGGAAGCGCTCCCCCGCCCCGAATGTTGACAGCAGCTCGAGGGCTTTAACAGGAACGAGGATGCAGAAGAGCTGCTGAATAGAGCAGATGGCCATCCTTCGTGTCCAACATCACCTGTCCACCCTAAGCAGCATGGAAGGTCTTGGAAAGGGGAGGGGATTCTTGCCCCACAGATTTCATTTCAAGCTGGCCACAAGCCTGAGTCGCCGCCCCGACCTGTCTTGTAATGGGAACAAATGGGTTTTTAAGTAAATGTCAAGCTGCCGTCAGTCCGCTTCAAAGGGAGTGGTGTTGGAGACATTTTAAGAAATTGAATTTGTAAGATGGCGTTGGGTGGGGAGTGAAATAATAACAGGGGCTCGAAAATGTGACTCGGAGAAATGGGTCCAAGTCGCAAGTTTAGCTCAAGTCTTTAAAAAAAAAAACTCAAATCAAGTAGGAGTTGAGTCACCAGGCCAACTTAAGTGAGACTCAACTGCAAGTCACAAATCGTGATTTCCCCATCCCTGGTTTAGTAGCATTTTGCAGTATTCACAAAAAGACGGAGTTGACTCATGTCTTGAAGGTTATCTTGGCAACTGATGAATGGTGCAAAAGACCGTTCTGGCCGTCTTTTTAAAAAGCCCAAGTGCTTACTCAGAGATGGGGAAAGTTACACTTTGGAACCAAAACAAAAAACAAAAAAGAAAAGAAAAAAAGAAAAAAGTGCCCAAAATGGCTGTGGAAATCTGGGAGTTGTGGTTTGAAGCTGGATAAATGCATTGGCAAAGCAGCTACCATGTTCTCTAGACTCACAAAGAGAGTATGGCTCAATAAGAAGCTGACGACACATACCAAGATCCAGGTCTATAGAGCCTGTGTCCTGAGTACACTCCTGTCCTGCAGTGAGTCCTGGACTCTTTGTGCACGGCAGGAGAGGAAGCTGAACACGTTCCATAGGCGTTGTCTCCGACGGATTTTTGGTATCACCTGGCAGGACAAAGTTCCAAACAGAGTAGGCCTAGAATGAGCTGGAATTGTTCACATGTATAGATTACTGAAACAGCGACGTCTACATTTGCTCGGGCATGTTGTGAAAATGGCTGATGGTCAGATTCCAAAAGATCTCCTGTATGGAGAACTAGTGCAGGGAAATCGCCCCAGCGGGAGACCACAGCTGTGATACAGGGAGATCTGCAAGCGGGATCTGAAAGTCTTAGGAATGGATTTTCTCAACAGATGGGAAACCCTGACCTCTGAGCATTCAGCCTGGAGGCAGGCGGTGCATCACGGCCTCTCCCAATTTGAAGAGACCCTTGTCCAGTAGGCTGAGGCCAAGAGGAAGTCACGTTCGTTCGTTTAGTCGTTTAGTCGTGTCCGACTCTTCGTGACCCCATGGACCGTTGCATCACGGCCTCTCCCAATTTGAAGAGACCCTTGCCCAGCAGACGGAGGCAAAGAGGCAGTCCCGAAATCAGCAAAACCAGGGAGCTGGACAGGGGACAGACTGTATTTGTCTTCAGTGTGGGAGGGATTGTCTCTCTCGAATTGGCCTCCTCAGCCACACTAGACGCTGCACCAAGTCCTCCATACAGAGCACGTGACCCTCATCTCTCAAGGTGGAAGGAGGCCTACAAAAACTGCTGTCACAGGGCAGGTGCTTCAGGGAATGGGGTTAACCCTTTCCATCTTCATTTTCCCCTCCCCAGTACCTAGTACCCCATCAGGAGCCATGTAGTTTTTCGCTCTGTGTCTCTCTCTCTGTGTGTGTGTGTGTGTGTGTGTGTGTGTGTGTGTGTGTGCGCACGCGCGCACGTGTACTGGAGGATAAAAGAACCACCTCCACACACACCTTCAGTCCTGCCAAAATCACCCACCATATAAAAAGAAATCACTGCCCTTCAAACATAATTACTTTACCTCTAATTGGGCCTTAGACATGTTTTGTTCTCATTGACAAGCCTTTATTTAAGGAAGAGCAGTAAATAATGCAAATGGCTCTCTCCATGGTACTACTGGAGATGAATTTCATGCTGTTTCTCTCCCTAATTGTATCTCCTGTCAACGCAGGGCTTTACAGACCAACCTGAACAAGAAGTCACTCGTAGTGTTATCTTAATTAGTGGTTCTCAGTCTTGTGTCCCCAGATGTTCTTGGATGGCAATTCCCAGAAGCCTTTACTGCTAGCTCTCCTGGGCCAGGATTCCTGGGGGGGGGGGTTGCAGTCTAAGAATATCTGTGGGTCCCAGGTTGGGAACTGCTATCTTAAATACTTTGCAAAGTGTTTTGCAGATAGCTGGTTGGATGGAGGCAATGAAGTCTGTTTGGGAAGTTTGAAATGTGGTATGAGGTTATACACTTTTATTTATCTATCTATCTATCTATCTATCTATCTATCTATCTATCTATCTATCTATCTATCTATCTATCTATCTATCTATCTATCTATCTATCTATCTATCTATCTATCTATCTATCTATCTATCTATCTATCTATCTATCTATCTATCTATCTAGTTAGTTAGTTAGTTAGTTAGTTAGTTAGTTAGTTAGTTAGTTAGTTAGTTAGTTAGTTAGTTAGTTAGTTAGTTAGTTAGTTATTGGATTTCTATCCCGCCCATCTAGACCAAAGGTCTACATGAGGCTTGAGATGATGGATTCCAATAAAAACCAGGTTCCCTGAAATAAAAAACCAATCAGGAAATTGGTCAGAAACTCCCTGGAAAGCTATAAATGTTCAGATCTTCCCCCATGATCTCAAATAATGGAGGCAGCATTTGAGTTTTCCTTATTAGGCTTCTCACTTACAACAGAAATTCTGTTTTCTCTTTATAGGAATCCTCTTTGCTACAACTAGCATTGGTCCTGCCATCGCTTTCATCGTGGGGTCGGTCATGCTGCGTTTTTATGTCGACATAGACAAATTTTCTCCATGTGAGTGAACAAAGCTTTCAAATCAGCCTATTTCTCTCTTTTTTTTAAAAAAAAAAAGAAAAATAATATATTTAACAAACTATAAAGAAATTTGGGTAAGAAAACCAACAGCTGTTAGTAACATTCTCTATTATTAGAAAAGGAAAAAATGAAAATGAAACATTTTCAACCCAGATCCTACTCCTGGGTAGAAGATTATTATCGTCCCATGGGGAAAAACATGATATTTTCATTATAGTTCACACAACATCTTTCCAAGTCTAAGTCGATCTTGTAGTACTCCAGTGAAGGTAGAGTTGTTATTGATAAATGTTTTTAAAAGGTGACCAGATTTCCGTAAATCATTCTTTCTTTTCTATTCCATTTGTTACTCTCTTTTTACATGTCAATCTTTCATTGAATTCAGCCGACCATACCAGACCCATCCCGGTATCTATCAAGAAACCATCCAAATTTTTCCACTTTTGAGAACTTTCCAGCCCTGCAGCTGCTCACAACATTACTGTATCATCAGTTCTTTATATGACAAAAACTGATAAAACTAAAAGCCAACCACAGTAATCTATTGTCTTGGCTAGTTTTCTCAATTAGGAACGAGACAACACTCTCCCAATTGTGTATGACAGGAGCACGTTTCAGCCACAGAGGAATAGATGAGCCATCCTGACCACGTCCCCTCCAGCGTGTGGCTAGCTGTGTGCTGTCTAATGTGCATAATTTATCAGGGGCCAAATACCAATGGTGTAAGCAAAGCAAAGTGTGCTGCTTATTATTCTGCCCTCTGCGTGAATTACAATTTAATGACGCAGGCTACACATTTCCCCTCTCCCACCAGCTGAGTGCTCCGTCTACTGACCTCAGAAGGATGGAAGGCTGAGTAAGCCTTGAGCCAGCTAGCTGGGATTGAACCTGGGTTGTGTGAGCAGAGTTTTCGCTGCAGTGCTGCAGTTGTTGCTGTTGTTGCTGTTGCTGCTGCTGTTGTTGTTATCCATTGGCCAGGGAAGATCATAGGGAAGGGGATTTGGAACAAGGTACTGGGGTGTTTTACTTACTTACTTACTGACTTATTTATTTATTTATTTATTTAATCAATTACTCAATCAATCAATCAATCAATCAATCAATCAATCAATCAATCAATCAATTAATTAATTAATTAATTGAATTTATACCCTGGCCATCTAGACCGAAGCCTACTCTGGCGGCTCGCAATAATAGGTAAAATAAAAACACTATAATAAAATTTTTTAAAAAAATACAGAATGTGGTAGAGAACAATATATACCATTATTATTTTTACCTATGTGCTTTTCTCACTAAGCTTACTCCTCACTAATCTTGCCCATTTTTTCTAAGCCTTTATGATCTACAATTATATCTTACATCTTCTTATAATCTTAACCCATTCATGTTCTCCTCTCTCATCCAATTATACAAAAGCTCCCATTTTTTCCTAGCCTTTCTTTGTCTTTTAATACTTCAATTAAAATATCCATCAATGCTGCTTCAAAAAAAATTTTTTTCCCTATTAACTCCTGGGTTGTTTGAGAAAATATTTTTTTTCTATTAACTCCTGGGTTGTTTCAGACTCCTCTTTTTTCCAGTATTGGACATATAAAATTCTTGCTGCTGTTGTTACATGCGTGATCAAATATCTTTTTTCTTTTTCTATCAAATATGGTATTATATTCAACAAAAACAGTTCAGGTTCCTATGGAATTGTGCAAGATAACATTTTTTGTAAAATCTCATGGACTAGTTTCCATAAGCTTTTAATTTCCCTGAAAGTCCATCACATATGATAAAAACTACCTTCTATTAATTGCAGTGCTATAGTTTAACGAATATGCCATGGGGTGTACTTTTTGTTGTCGTTTAGTCATGTCCGACTCTTCGTGACCCCATGGACCAGAGCACGCCAGGCCCTCCTGTTTTCCACTGCCTCCCGGAGTTGGGTCAAATTCATGTTGGTCGCTTCGCAGACACTGTCCATCCATCTCGTCCTCTGTCGTCCCCTTCTCCTCTTGCCCTCACACTTTCCCAACATCAGGGTCTTTTCCAGGGAGTCTTCTCGTCTCATGAGATGGACAAAGGATTGGAGCCTCAGCTTCAGGATCTGTCCTTCCAGGGAGCACTCAGGGTGGATTTCCTTCAAAATGGATAGGTTTGTTCTCTTTGCAGTCCAGGGATTCTCAAGATTCCCCTCCAGCGTGTACTAGTTTAACATATTTTCTTGGAACTGGGAAGTTCCTTAAAAGGAACCCTTGACCAAGTCTTTTCCCAATACTGAAGACTTAAAAATTCTTTTTCCTATACCCTTCTTAATCCCTTGACTTTTCCATATATGTCTTCTAATAGCCATTTATAAATTTTTGATCTCTGCCCCGTAGTTGTATCGGTGGATGAAATGCAAACTTCTTCCCATGGTGTTAGTGGTCTTGGTGGTCCCTGAGCATGCATTATACATCTAAGAAAACTTCACAAAATCTGTATATTTCTGGAAGATCAAGTTCAGAGACGTAGAGGAAAGTGTCGGCTAGAATTTCTTCTTCGACTCTCATGATTGCCACTATTTCTAGTAAGCATTTTCAACACACATAGAGACAGACAGACAAAGGAGCTGAGGAATAAGAATTCTCCCAGCAGAGACATAGGTTTCTAAGGAACCCGGGTTAACAGTGAGAATGGCCTGCTTGATAGAGAGTCATCGTGGGATGCTAAATATAGTTTTAACATGAAAATATCGATAGTTTAGCACAGGCTTTTTCTTGGATAAAATTCTACTACCACACGGTTCTCCTGTACAGTATATGATACCGTCATCTCCCGCCACAGCTCCCTTGTTTGATAAACCTCTCCTCACCTTAGGCTCCCTGAGGCCAGTTCAAAAAGCTCTGTTCTTAAATACTGGGGATGTTCATCCTAAAAGAGAATTCTCTTTTCCTAGATGTACGCCCAAACCCTTCTTTCCCTCCTGAAATGTTGAGTTTTGCCAAGTCATTTCAGCCTATGGACACCTCAGGGGAGCGAGTATTTATTGCTGCAGATAAAAATGGCAAGAGGATGTTAAAGAGGTTTTGTGGCTGTGACAAAATGTCCCTCGTAATTCTCAAGCTGTTGGGTTCAATTTTACATGGGTCTATTTCAATTCCCTCATTCTTTTATGTGAAACCGTGAAATGAGGGGGTAGCTCTTGGCTCCATGATCATCCTTGCTTCTCAGCCCAGCCTCTCTGATTCACACCTGCTCTCCCCTCCGCCAGACAGACAGCAAAGCCTTTCGCTGGAACACAGCCAGACCAGGGTTGGGAATCTGTTCCCTGTAAGAGAAGTGTTTGAGCTCACTTGGCTGAGTCATTCATGTCCCTGAATGGCTTCTCCCCTGACGATGGACAAATAGTCTCCAGAAACATTTAAAAACATGCATCCTGGACAGGTGCGGTAATGGAAGATTTTTCATGCTTAGTCGTTTAGTCGTGTCCGACTCTCCGTGACCCCATGGACCAGAGCACGTCAGGCCCTCCTGTCTTCCACTGCCTCCCGGAGTCGGGTCAGATTCACGTTGGTCGCTTCGATGACACTGTCCAGCCATCTCGTCCCCTGTCGTCCCCTTCTTCTCCTCCTGCCTTCACACTTTCCCAACATCAGGGTCTTTTCCAGGGAGTCTTCTCTTCTCATGAGATGGCCAAAGGATTGGAGCCTCCGCTTCAGGATCTGTCCTTCCAGTGAGCACTCAGGGTTGACTTCCTTCAAAACGGATAGGTTTGTTCTCCTTGCAGTCCAGGGGACTCTCGAGAGTCTCCTCCGGTGCCACAATTGAAGGTGGGCAGCCACTTAACATCTACAGGAAACCTACTCTACAGAGTGAGTGGGTTGTTCCACTTCACAGCTTGTGAAGCCAGATTTCGGTTGAATTTCCTAGTACCACAAGGTAACCTATTCCCTTGAAAGGCAGTGAGCGCTTTAGCACTGGAGGCCTTCAAATGGACCACCCTCTGTCTGATCTGCTTTGATTTGTACCCCTCCTTTGAGCAGGGGTTCAGACTGGATGGCCTCAGAGGCCCCTTCCAACATGATGACTATACATATCAGGACTAGTAATAATATTTCCTGTACCTGCAGGAAATCTCCCCAGTTCTTCCCCTGCAGCCCTCCATCTCCTCTCCAGAAAAAGTGGACCTTGAACAAAACACTCATTTTGTTCAATATGAGGTGGCCCAATTTCCATCAGTTGGAAAAAATATTTTTTTGTGTGTGTGTGAAGGGCTGCTTTGATTTGCTTAATTATCCTGGCTGTAAGGGCTCCTTGGATTACTGAAGAGTATCTTTCCCTCCTTGTATTTTCTTGTCACCGATTTCATGCCTATCATATTCAGGGCACGTTTCTTGCATTATTGGGGGGGGGGACCAGGCTTTACTCTGTTAGTTTTCTACACTGTCATATTATCTTATTATAAGATAATCTCCTTCCCCATCATTCCTGCATCTTCCATTCTTTCTCGAAAAACCTTCAGAGCCAGAGGCCTGTTTATATACAGAAAATGCTCTTTGGACTCCCGGCTGATGATCCTTCTACCTGCTGAGCCTTTATCAAATTTATTTATTTTATTTATTTTATGAGATTTATACCCCGCCCATCTAGACTAGAATGTATTCTACTCTAGTTAGGATGCTTTTCTGCAGCAGAAACTGGCTTCACCTTCAGCTTGTGATCTCCTTAAGAAAACTCTTATTCACCGGAGGTCATCAGGTTGGTAGCTACTTCTGAGTCCGAATCGCATCAAACAACATATTCTGAAGAAAAACAGATCTGTGTTTACTCTCTCCTACACCTCAAGGGGTTCTGTTTCTTGATGTTGGCTTAAAAAAAAAACCACTGCAGATTTTATCTTTCTCAAAAGACATCAACCCTTCATTCAAAAAACAAAAAGAAAACCCAACCCTTCATTTTTATGCATGCAAACTCTTGCTCTGAATTCCACCTTGTGGATTTATGAGCTACGTCCGTTGAAATACTGTCAGTTTCCACGATGGGAACAGAGATAACCAGGTATTCTGGTCTGTGCCTCTCTTTGGAAGGGTCTGGAAATTTTCACCCTTGAGGTAGGAGGTGTGTAACCCAAATTTAGCCCCTGCAGTAGCTAGAAGACCTGTTCGCATTACAAAGAATATGATGCACTTTCTCTTCTGATGAGACCAGCTTTTTGATAATAACATAAGAGAGACCCGTCTCTTGTTGCCCACGTGGTCTCCAGTTCTTGCAATCTATGGATACCGACTATCTCATGCTAGAGAAACTGTTTAGGGCTGATGGCTGACAAAACGCAGCCGGTCACCTGCCTGTCACGTTTCGCAGCTCTCAGCAAGAAGCTGGTGAAGACCCTGTCTGTTCCCTTGGCTGGTTTGAGACTTGAGGCTGCTGTTCTCAAGAAGTCCAGCATCCAAAGAGCCAAACTCAGCTTCTCTCTCTCTCTCTCTCTCTCTCTCACTCACTCACTCTCTCACTGAAGGTGGAGACTGGGTTTTGCTTTGGTGCTGCACTAGGAGGTGTTCCATTCGAGCACTTCCCTCACTCTGGGCTCAAAAAGCCCAGCTCCACTCCTTACATCTGGACCGAAAGGCTGCCGTGTGGTTAGAACTCGGGGCTCTCGAGAGCTCTAACCAAGAGAGAGCCAGCCACGGCAGCCTCAGGGGTTGGGGGCCTCTTCCTTACAGAGGAACTAGGCTCCTTAGCATAGCACCGTCCCAGAAGAGACGCGTCCATGCTGAAAGTGCAGACCCCTTCCATCCTCCTCCGAAGGCAAGGATGCATCGTTCTTCTTGGCCAAGATGGCAAACAGGGTCCTTGGTTCTGAGGAACAGTCTGCCTTCATCGTGTGGCTGGGCAGCAGCTCTCAGCCTTCCTCCCCGCTGGCTTGAGCTTGGGGGGGGACTTTTAGAGGGCTGTGTGCTTCCTTTACTCCTTCGGGGGCCCCATAAGAGCCGACATTCACATCATGTCATCTGTTCTCCGATGGGAGATGCCGTTAGCCCACAATACGCACCTTCTGCCTTTGGAAGGACTTTTGAATGTTTATGATAAGTCGGCTCCCACGTTTTGTGGCTTAACAGCTCTTGGCTCATTATTGTCCCCAAAAGCTGTGTTTGTTCCTCCATCTGCTCCATTGCACGCACATGCTCACATGGACGTGATTCTGGCAGTGCCAGGCCATTCCAAGTAGAAGTGGGGAACACTTGGGGGTGAGAAATTTCCTCATCATTAACCCACCCCCACCCCGTGAACCTTTTCCCTGCCGACTTCCTACCTGCAAATCTGAAACAGCCTTGTTTTGTAAAATAGATAGTGATCCCTGTCCTTATAACCCTGGAGCACACGTTCATTAAAGTCTTTCAGGGGAGGTGAAATAAGGTACATTTTCACCCCAAAAGTTTGTGGCATCTGCTGTCCGTGTGTATTATTCATGGATTTAAAAAAAAAAATCGCCATTCTGCCACAACTTGGACGCAAGGCAGTTTATAGTCATCAGTGCAAATACAACGTCAACATAGGATCGTGGTTAGGTGGAATGGCAGGGAGCAGCTGAGTTTCTGGTAGCAGAAGACAAGTAAGAGAGGAAAGGAGTGACCTTCCTATCCTACTTATAAGCTGCAAGAAGGCAATGGAATTGGATCAGGCCTGTCTCCCTAGTCCAGGGCATCACCGGCCCTGATCCCTGGAGCCTTCCACTGAGAGGGGATGGATTCCCTCACCTGTGCCCATCCTTCTACAATGCCTTCAGCCTGCAGGAAACCTCTTGCTCTTGATGCAGATCAGCCACGGGGAGGTCACCTACTCTTCCTCCCCATGACTCACTCTCTCTGCTAAAGAGCATGAAAAGTACTCCTTTTTCTTTTGCCCCGAGGAGAACTCCCAGAATCCCCCAGTCAGCAGGGCCACTGGCACTGGTGGGGCTGTAGTCTGAAAGTTTTCCAAGTTCTGGACAAGAGGGCACAGTGGATCTTCCCAGAGACACGCAACTGCTTTCGCCTGCAAAAGGAAAGCTGGAAAAGAAAGAATTTTAGTCTGACCCTGCTGGGCTCCTCTCACGGTGTGGCAAACCTTTGGTCTCGCATCTGTGCATTTAGAGATTTGCATCCTGTGTTTGTTTGTTTTTTAAGTAGAGTCTAGAGTGCTCCTGAACGTAGCTGGCCATATCTCTCGAAAGCGCTGGGCAACAACAGTGCCAAACAATCTGTGCTGCCAGCCGTTGTGCAGGGCCCCCGTCCTGATTAAGTCCCGGATAGAGCCAGAATAGGAAGTTAGCCCCATGTCCGCAACAAGGTTGTCAATGGCTGGTCCTCCACTGTGCCATTTCAGAGCACTAGTAGGGTACTGTCCATAAGACAGGGTGCTCACGAGTGCAGGCCGCCTAAGACAGACCCTTTGGGACCTTGGGCATCATGTCGTGGTGGCTATGTACCGCTTTCAGCCTGGATTCCCCCACCCCCACCCCATTTTGAAAGGCACCTTTCCCAAAATGGCCATAAACAGGTCCATCGCAGGTGACAAGCCATGACGGGGAGGTACAATCTCCAGGCTTAAAAGGAAGGGACCTCCAAAGGCCAGAGGCAGGGGAAGGTTTATCAAGAGACAAGGATCATGGTCTCGTGGGTTCCCAAGAAGCATCTGGTGGGGGCCACGGTGAGAGACAGGGAGCGGACCTCCAAAGGCCAGAGGCAGGGGAAGATTTATCGAGAGACAGGGTCTCTCATGGTCTCGTGGGTTCCCAAGAAGCATCTGGTGGGGGCCACGGTGAGAGACAGGGAGCTGGACTAGAGGGGCCCTGGGCCTGATCCAGCACAGGGCTCCTCTTAGGTTCTTAGGTTCTTACTGTCTTACATTAATTTTTGCTCCAAAAACACATTAGGACTTATTTTCAGGGGATGTACTTTTATATTATTATTTTATTTCACATACAACAGTGTACCTTGATTCAAATACAGTCATGTCATCTTCTGGTTGCTGCACAGGAGTGGAGGACGAGGTTTCACTTCACTGGGGGCTTATTTTTGGGGTAGGGCTTATATTACGAGCATCCTGAAAAATCATACTAGGTCTTATTTTTGGGCTAGGTCTTATTTTCGGGGAAACTGGGTACTGTATTACATACAGATGGACCCCACATGTATTACCAGAACGGGCCACTAGAGGAGACCAAGGAGCATTCTATACATTATTCACTAACAAATATTCACAGCATGGTCTAAGTGGCCAGTTCTTTTAATACATATGAAAATAGTTTTTTCCCCCCTTTCTGGATGCTTTTCCTTTTAATATTTTTAATGCTTTCAAGATCATCGAATCCAATCCATGAAAGCTCACAGTGAAAAAAAAATCTGTAACTTGCAAAGATGGCATAACGTTATTGCTCTTGCTGGTGTTGAAATAGATTTGCAAGGCTTCCTGTCTGAAAACGGAGGCAGACTCTCCACTCTGCCTCATGACAGGGGCGGAGAGCTGCTGCCAGTCACTGTGGGAAAGTCCTGAGGTGGATGAGCTGGTGGTGGGTCCATGGTGCAGCGCCTCCTCTGCCAGGAGGGCCCCCCGAGTCCACCCACTGTTTCTCCCGGGATGGCTGGGAAGGAGGAGGCCTGTTGGAAACTACGCTGGGGCCCTGCCCGTCAGGATAGGCTTGATAGATCGATGGTCTGCCAAGGTGCAAGACAGTTTGTTATGTTCTTTGCAAAATGTTGGACCATGATCTGCACTGCAGCTATAGAAATCTCGGGGTGGGAGGTCTTGGGCCAGCAGGACGTGCCCTGAGAGTCGCTCACAGCTGTCCCATCTGGTTGTGTTTCAGCGGAAATTCACATCAACAACAAAGATCCACGATGGGTGGGAGCCTGGTGGCTCGGTTTCATTTTCGCCGCCAGCATTGTGGCCATCTCCTCAATTCCTTATTTCTTTTTTCCCAGAGAATTGCCGAAAGAGGTAAGTTGTCGTTGTTGATGATTATTCGTTAAGTTGTGACCGACTGTTCGTGACCCCCATCGACCAGAGCACGCCAGGCCCTCCTGTCTTCTGAAAGACAAAACCGACATTCAGCTTCTCCTCCTCTCCATGGAAGGATGTTTAAATGGGGCTTTTCTTCTTGTCAGTGAAGCGCTGACTTTGCTGCATCTGTTTGATTTTACGCTATGTTCTCTGCAAAGAATCACATTGATTTCCCCCCAGGGAGCCTGAGATTTTTTTTAAAAAGTCCCCTGTAATGAAACCTGCAGAGGAGAGCAAATTGCTGGGCACCTTCTCTTCAACCCCAAGTCAGACAGGCAGGAAGAGAACGAATGGAGTTGATAAAATCTTCACTGTTTGCGTCAGCCAGGGAGGGCCTGGGTAGGGACATAAAATGAAAAGTGACTCATTTTTGGGTACTGGAGATTGCTGAAATCTTTATTCTGGCTGATTTGGGCTACCTCAACTGGACTGGATACCTCAGTGAGGAAATTTCCAGCCCCACAATATTCCTCACTTCTAGTGCAGACCAAGACAAAGGACTGCTAGATAGCTCCATGGTTTAGGCATCTGTTGGAGTTCGATCCCCCATGGTATCTCCTTAAGAGGGGCTGGACCCAATGATCCATAGGGTCCATTCCAGCTTCCAATGTTGAGGAAATTTCCAGCCCCACAATATTCCTCACTTCTAGTGCAGACCAAGACAAAGGACTGCTAGATAGCTCCATGGTTTAGGCATCTGTTGGAGTTCGATTCCCCATGGTATCTCCTTAAGAGGGGTTGGATTCGATGATCCATATGGTCCCTCCCAGCTTCCAATGTTGGGAAGCCACTGAAAGCCACAAACACCAGCAGAGCTTCAACAAAAGAAGAAAGTTTAAAACTCAACAAAGCCTGGCTCCTAGCACTGAAAAACACAGCCTGCAAAAAGGTCAACAAACTCTACCTAGCCACAAGGACCGGTGATCACTGCACACAAAAGACCAGCTAACGACACCCATCAATCACAGTGACAGATAATCTCTCCCCCTTATCACAACAGTACACACCACAATAAAAACATACTGATCACCCTAATCACCCACTCTCCTGAAAAGGAGAAAAAGCTGATCCCATAGCTATAAATACTCAGCTATCCCACAAACTGCACCAGAGCACAGAGTTCTGACTCGTGTCCTCTGAAGATGCCGGCCACAGAGACTGCTGAAACATTAGGAAGAAAAAACTCAAGAACACGGCCAGACAGCCCGAAAAACTTACAACGATCAATATAATTCTTCTTCTTTTCCTCCTCCTCCTCTGTAGTTTGCATAACCTTTCTCTGTGCAAAACTACTGCCTATTCCCTTTGAAAAGGGAATCTCAGACACACACAGCAAGCCACAGAACAACTAGCAGGTTGACTGAAAAAAAGACACACAGAGAGGAAGAGAGAGAGAGTAGCAGCCATTGTCATTTTGCACTATTTGGGAGACACACAGAGAGAAAGAGAGAGAGAGAGTAGCAGCCATTGTTATTTTGCACTATTTGGTTTGTTCCTCTCTCTTTGCTTTATTTATGGAGACCAAACACTCACAGCCTGCTCTCAGAGCCCATAAACACCGGGTCTCTCCGTTCCTTCTCTGAATGTCTTTAGCTCAGATCATTCTGTTTATAGCAAAGCAGCGCGTCTCGAATTTTGACTCGCCTGTGTCACTACTGCCTTTCCCCCATGAAGATCAACTGGCATTGGTGACAAAGCACGGGGTAGCCTGAAAGCCAGAATACGGTGAAATCTCACCAGTGTTTTGGTTCTTGGCCAGGACAGGCTATCTCGACACAACCTCAAGTTGTGTGAGAAATCCCACTTCTAGCATAAGAGCAAGACGACGAGTACAAAACGCAGGCACAGAACCAGCCCCTTTCTCTAAGCAGACCCATATTCATAGCAAGCACAAGGTGCTTCTACTTCTTCAACCTTCACACGAAAAGGAGGCGCCTATCATCATCATCATTTCAAGCTTTGTGTGCCTGCATGAAAATCATCCATCTTGGAAAGGAGCAAATCCTGCCTTTAGCCAACAACCGTTCCCTGACATCTTTTGTCAAGAATAAACATTGCTCTACTTCCTATTTAACACAATAGGATGAATCCGATTGTTATTTATATCCCGATCCGAAAACAATCTTCCCCAGTGACAAAATGTGAAGTATAAAATATCATCTATCACAGCTTTTTAATATGCTCTCTGTTTTTAGCAATGAATTTATCTGTGTATGGAATGGAAATGTCTCCTACTGACATCTGACTTCATTGCAAAGGTCAGGTCACAAGAGTTCCTGGACACAATTGAATGAAATAGGCCCAACGGTCATTTCTTTCTGCCAGAAACACCGCAGTCTATCATTGTGTCCCTGGCCTAGGGGCCTGAAACAGCAAATTGTCCCCAGCCGACGACCAGCCCCTTGGGAGAAGCTGCGACAAAACTGGCAGAAACCTGACATTACATCCCAAAGTTATTTGGTTGGATACCCTGCATTTGTGGATTCCAGATCCCAAGAGGCAATAAATGTGCATTGCACCACTTTAAAAAACCTAAAAGACTAAAAGAAAATAAATGTACTGTAAATTGTGAATGCAAATATGTATTAGATCAGCGCAGCACAACCTGCTGTCCAAAAACATTTGTGGATTCCAGATCCCAAGAGGCAATAAATGTGCATTGCACCACTTTAAAAAACCTAAAAGACTAAAATAAAATAAATGTACTGTATATTGGGAATGCAAATATGTATTAGATCAGCGCAGAGCAACCTGCTGTCAAAATACATGTTTGCTTTCCATGAGTCTTTTAGGTATTTGAATTGATGCAACACACATTCTCTGCCCTTATAGACACTTCAGATGTGGTTTTTTTTCACTTCTTCTGCTTCCCCACGGAGTGCAGGAAGTTTTTAATTTGCCAGAACCCTGGAGTGTCTCTCTTCTTAAGCCACTTCATGATATTGGCAAATTGAAGCGGGCTGCTTTGGACCAAACAATTTTGTTTGAGATCCACATGCCCGTTGGATGTGACAATTGCTCCGAAGGATTAATTTGCCAGTGTCCCAAAGCCATCTTCCCCATAAACCTGCCACTTCCATTGATGGTTTTGCCCACTTTCTGTGGGCCAAAACTCATGACACAGGCACCGATCCCCTTAGGAATGCATCCTGCCACATTGCTGTCTTTTCATAATCGGCAGACAAATGGAACACTCTTGTTTCCTCCACGTGACAAACCACGAAACAAAAGCAGGTGAATTTGCAGGTGAATTTGCTTGTTTTTCTGCTTATAAAGCAGCAAAACAAGCATGAACAAATGGAAAATCAGAAGATTTTCATGCTTAGGCCAGATCCCTTCCAAGTGAGAAGCTCCCCTTTCTTGTGTATTTTGGCCCCATGTCTTCCTCCAACGCAAGTACCGTATTTGTTCCACAAATTCATAGCCTTGTCAGAGGCTTGGCACTGAAGTCAAATTAAATATTGTCCTTGTGGTTTGGTTTTCTGATTAAATTCTACCCAATCAGGAAACACCGAGAGAGGGAGAGGACATTATATGAGTATCTGAGTAATTGGATAGAGATGTGTGAACTAATCAATGCAAGTGAGGGCAGTTAGAAGAGCGTGATGGAGAAGTGAATGTTTTTAACAGCTTGCCAGAAAGAAAGGGAGGAAAAAGGAAAGCTCTCCAATTAAGGCTTTTGGCACCGCTCAAAATATCTGTTTGAATAGGTTTGGCTCAGCCCTAAATAGAAAATGATGAAACAATCGATCAAATAAAAAGCGATTTGCATCGGCTAGCTAAATTATCAAAACAGTCAGCCAAAACTTGTAATAAAAAGCAATGCAAAAAAACCCTACAAAAAAACCAGGTTGTACAGTTATATAGAAGCAGAATAAGTATTGTGTAACAAGGAAGTCTTGGTAAAAGATTAGAGGTGTTGGTTGGTGGGTTGGTGGGTGGTGGGTTGGTGGGTTGGTTGGTTGGTTTCCCTACATTTATATCTTGCCTTATTCATCATGGTCTCTGCAAAAATGCACTGTGCCTGTATAGAACACTCCGGAACCTTTCAAAGCTGAATCTTTTTTGCGGGACCCACCCTTCAACATTGTGCATGACAGGCAGTTTTCCTCCATTTCCCCTCAGTTTCATGCCCAGAAAAGGCGCCATCCTGCAACTCACTCATTGGGTGCTTGGGAAACTTTGCTTCTTTTTGTCCTTCTTCCCCCACCCCAAACTCCCTGTGTTATGGTGTGTATGTCTCTCTCTGTGTGCAAAAGTCTCATGGAGGGACTCTTCACTTCTGAATTTGTGACTCTACTGCTGATAGGGAGAGATGAAAACTGGGTTCCTTCTTTTGGGTGAAGAGGGCCACTATACGGTCTTGTGGAGGCTCATGATGTAATTGGGGATGTGACACATCCCAAGATTTTGGAAGGAGCCACCTATGATGAAGAGCCGTCTGGGGAATAGTGGTGCATTATGTCTACTTCTCTTTTCATAGGAGGAGAGTCCACAAAAGAACATTACAGAAATGAATAAAGCGGACTTAAGGGATGAGCTTAAAAATAAGCCTGCAGATATGGAAGATTTCACTCTGGGTCAGTTCATCAAAAGTAAGTCAATGTGCATTACTTGACTACAACTTTGTCTTGGTAATCAACTAGCGAGACTGAGTTCTTTTAGGAGGAGCAAAAGCTCAAAACCAGAGCTTGGAGAAGCTAAATGTTTAGACCATAAAACAGGCTATTCTGATCACCCTGGCCAGGGTTTTTGCAGCTGTAGTCCAAAAATGTCATTTTGAAGCTCTGAAAGGAAGATCAGAACATTTTGTTGTTTTTTTATTTAGTCGTTCAGTTGTGTTCGACTCTTCATGACCATGGACCAGAGCACACCAGGCCCTCCTGTCTTCCACTGCCTCCCAGAGTTGGGTCAAATTCATATTGGTCGCTTCGATGATCCTGTGCATCCATCTCGTCCTCTGTCGTTCCCTTCTCCTCTTGCCTTCACTCTTTCCCAACATCAGGGTCTTTTCCAGGGAATCTTCTCTTCTCATGAGATGGCCAAAGTATTGGAGCCTCAGCTTCAGGATCTGTCCTTCCAGTGAGCCCTCAGGGTTGATTTCCTTCAGAATGGATAGGTTTGTTCTCCTTGCATTCCAGGGGACTCTCAAGGGCCTCCTCCAGCACCAGAACAGATAAACCTATAATTATTCTGTCTCCAAGGTCCCAGAAATCTCAACACTGGGTTGTTGCCCGAGGCCCTGCTTATTGCCACCCCAAAATTGACCACCAAAGGATCCTCACGTCCTTACTTCCACTCTGTCCACATGTTGCTTTCTGCATCCTCATGCAGTGGCGGCTGATGCAGGATCACAAGCACCTCCAAGATAATTGTAGCAGAGCCTGGCAAAGTCACCTTTGGGATTACAACTCTCAGACTCCACCAGTCAAGCCCACCAGCTGAGGCATTCTGGGAACTGTAGTAAACAAAAATCTTTGCCACTTCTAGATCTCCCCTGGCTGTGGTTGCGGCTATTGAACACACTCTTAAATGAATGATGCTGCCTGAGGCCATTGGCCCATTGACCTCAATACTTTACTGCCCCATCTGTTCAGACGTGCTCCCCAGAATCTTGTTCAGAGATTATGTCCTGTGGACAGAAGGACAGTATTAGACAGCCAATGACAGGAACGGTTTGGCCGTAGTGTGTGGCTTCTTATCCCTGCCGAATATTCAGCCACGCTGCCTATTCCAGAATAAAACATTTGATATCCTGCTTGCCAAATGCAGAGGTAGCGTGCAGGAAAGTAAGGGGAGACAGAGCAGTCTCCTGCACAGCGAGGGCTGTCCCTCCATTGGAGCCTGTTCTTGACCAAGAACCATGCAGGAGGGCAGCTGGAATATTCTGTATAAAGCATAGTCTGGTTTTCTTATATGTTTTTCTTTATTATATGGGGCCAAGTTGTGTCCTACTTTTAGCAATCCTATCAGAGCTCTCAAGGTGCAGAAGATATTTAAGGAGGAGTTTTACCGATCTCTCTCTCTCTCTCTCTCTCTCTCTCACACACACACACACACACACACACACACACACATATGCACGCAAAACACACACACCTGGTGTGTGTGTGTGTGGGGCTAACCCCATACAACCACACACACACACACACACACATGCACGCAAAACACACACACCTGGTGAGTGTGTGTGTGTGTGGCAAAGCAGGAATTCAAACCCAGGTCTCCTGAGTCCTGATCTCTACTCTCTTCACTACCTCGCACTAGCTCTCATTTTCCTGGATATGGTTTGTTAAATACTTCCTGTCCCTCCAGGTTTTAATTGTGGGACAGACCTCCCTTCAGGTGGAATGGAGGCACCCCTGCATTTGTATGGATTTCCTTATTTTTCAGTGCAGTGTAATATACCTTCATTTGCAGTAGCTGACAACCACGAAGGTTACGGAGCTTATGGGTAACTAGCTGATGGGCAGGAGAGATCATCGCCTGCTCTTCTTTCCTCCGGTCTTCTTACACAGTGTTTCCGGTGGTGCTGATGAGAAATATCAAGAATCCCATCTTCGTCATGGTTATCTTCGCTCTGATCAACCTCTCCGGCATGATTGCCGGATTAGCAACCTTCATGGCGAAATTCCTGGAGCGCCAATTCACCCTGACGGCATCGGTGGCCAATATGATCATCGGTAGGCAGTTACAGATGGCATGACATGGAACAGTGTGTGTGTGTGTGTGTGTGTGTGTGTGTGTGTGTGGCTGGCACCCTAATAGCCAGCGTCGTGTGTCTCCAGCTGCTGTGGCCATCCTTTCTTTTGCTTCAGGCCCATGCCTCGGGTCGAAAGGGATTTTCCAAAGGAAGGGGAGGAATCCCATTCTTGCTTCCAAATGCAATCCCCACCCCCCCCCCAATCAGCATCTCTGTCACACTCTTGACAGCCCTTGCTTTTTACTCTGCAGCCCTAGGGGATGAGCTCAGGGGGGGTCTCTGACACTCATTTGTATGACTTTCATAGTTGTGATTTGAACGGCAATGCTTTTATGGAAGCCGTTCATTGTGCTGGGTTTTCATGGGAAAGGAGAGGATGATCATGAGGGTATCAGCCACAGTGAGTGCAACGAAGGGGCAGGAGAGAGACCCAGATTCTGGAGGAGCCGTTGGTGCCTCGGCCCTCACATTCCCTCTTTATGGGCAAGGGCGTCCCTGATAACTGCTTTGGAAGAGGCAACCCAAGACAGTTTCCCCCCAATTAAACCTTGATGTCAATGAAGGGCGGAAGGCTTTTTGAAAGGCCTTTTGTCCCCTCCCTAGTAGAAAAATGGAATGATGGCCTTCTTGGAGGAGACCAGGCTCCCAAGTTTCTGCAGCCTCCTCTCTCTAACACCAGCCCGCCGAGACCTAAGCGCTAAAGAAACGTTATCTATGCATAGTCCCAGAGATAAATCTCTCTGCGGGAAGCATCCGGCTCAACCAAAACGGAGTGTATGGTTCCCCCAGAGGTGGCCAAACACTCGTTTCCTTTCCCCTCCCCCCTCTCTGCCCCACAGGCGTGGTCAACATCCCTGGCGCCATGTTCGGTATCATCCTCGGGGGTGCCATCATGAAAAACTGCCATCTCACCCTCAAGCAGGCCACCATCATGTGCATGTTCAGCATGGGCTTCTGCGTCCTCTTCGACATCCCCCTTCTCTTCCTGGGTTGCCCCACCCAGGAGGTGGCCGGCCTCGACTACTCCGGGAGGTACGTACGTGGATGCCTGGCCTTGGAAGAGAAACCGAAAGCCACTTCCCCCCCCCCTCAGCTTTCCCCCCTCCTCTGATTTCAGCCACGATTTTTCCCATCTCGTTCCCCTTCCTTGGGGGTCTATCAACCTCTCTGGTGCCTCTGTGGGAAGCTTTCATCCTTTTCAAGATGCCATCTAGTATCCAGTGGTACAATTCCTGTTAAAATTATTACTAGGAAAAGCAAAAAGGGAACCAGGAGCAAATCTTATTAGAAATACAGAACGAGTTGAACAGGTTATGGCTAGTGGATTTTAAATTTCTTTTAAAAGACTCAGAAATAAATTCACTCATCTGTCCAGATTCAGGTCTTTATGTACGGGTCAGAACTTGCTGTCAGGGGTGGGGGTGGGGTGGGAAGGGCAGGGGGATCGCAGAGAAGCTGGTCTCCTTCCCCTTCCTTGCTTCCCTCCACTTCAAGGGGGGGCATAGAATCGTGGTAGGGTTGGAAGGGAACTTAGAGGTATTCTAGTCTAACCCCCGGGGGCCCAAGGCAGGAGACCTCAGACCATCTCAGACAGAAGGATGTCCCATCTTTTCTTGAAAACCTCCAGCGATGGGGCACCCACCACATCAAGAGGCAAGCTGTTCCACTGCTGAATGGTTCTCCCCATCAGGAAATTCCTCCCAGTGTGGCTCCAAGCACCCCAGAAATGGTTCTCCCCATCAGGAAATTCCTCCTAGTGTGGCCCCAAATTCCCCAGAAAAAATATATCAGTGTAGAAAAAGCCTGGAGGCAGGCCGAGATCCCCTATTTGTCTATCAACAGTCAACCATCTATTGTTGAAACTATCCAATTTGTGGTCGAAACTAACAATCAAGTACGGATGACTAATTTATGACACCTTCAACCTCCTTTGCAGGGCAGAAAAGAGCGGTCTTAGGGCTGGCATGGTTTGTCGGTCAGTTAGCTTAATAGGTTATGAAAGGCTAAATGTACCATCAAGAAAAGGAGGGAGGGAGGAGGGAAGGACGGACAGACAGACAATAGCTTAGAACTTCAGAGCTGGAAGGAAATGTACGGATCATCCTGTCGGACCTCTCTCAAGGAGGCGCAGGGGGGAATCGAACCCTCAGCCTCTGGCTCCACGGCCATATGCCTAAACCACTGAGTTATCCAGCAGTTACCAAAAAGAAAGATGCTGTTTGTTTAACGAGTGAGTTTCAAGTTCCAGTAAGCCGGCAGAGTCAATTGCCTAAGAGCGTTTGAACTGAATAACAGAACGAATAAAAATTGCTTGCTGTCTCTGCTCAAGTGCTGTATCAGCTGAATAACCTGTTGTTTTTTTCCCTGTGTAGTTCTGAAGTTGGACAACTTGTCACTGAATGTAATAAAAAATGCAAATGCAGGTCCTCTTCCTTCAACCCCGTCTGTGGGCAGAATAACGTGGAGTACATCTCCCCTTGCTATGCTGGCTGCTCGGCTCTGATCTATAACAGTGAGCTGAACAAAGTTGAGGTGAGTAGAGATGCTTTTACCTACCCTTGAAATCTGGGGCAGGGGGAAAGCGACAGGAGCCTCGCAGCACAGTGGCTAAACTGCAGTCCTGCAGTTAAGACTCTGCTCCCAGCCTGAGTTGGATCCCTGACATGGTTCAGGTAGCCAGCTCAAGGTTCAGTCAATCTTCCATCCTTCCAAGGTTGATAAATTGATGATCCAGCTCGCTGGAGGGGGGGGGCAATGAGTCGCCTGCGTCGTTAAATTATAAACTGGCCAGAGAATGCTTTAAGCACAATGGGGTGGTTGATAAGCAGCACACTTTAATTTTTGCGTTGATTGCAGGGAGGAGAAGGCTGTTTCCCAGCTGTTCTCTTTTTGTATCTCAGAGAGTGGAGGGGGGGCCCAAAAGGAGCTTCTGGGGAGCATCTCAGGGGCTGGGCTTGGCAACAGGGGAGGCTGGCTGCCTTGGGTGCTCTGGCTGAAGACCATGGGGCTTTTGCCCTCAGACGCAGCACCTCTGCTTCCTCCTCCTCCTTTTTAAAGGATTCCATCACCCAGCCACAAGGACCGGTGATCACTACACACAAAAGACCAGCTAACAACACCCATCAATCACAGTGACAGATAATCGCTCCTCCTTATCACAACAATATACCCACACAAAAAAAAACACTGATCACCATAATCACCCATCTCCTGAAAAGGACAAAAGCTGATCCCACAGCCATAAATACTCAACTCCCAAACAAACTGCACAGATTTCCTACTCCAGTCCTCTGAAGATGCCGGCCACAGGGACTGGCGAAACGTTAGGAAGAACAACCTGCAGAACACGACCAAACAGTCCGAAAAACCCACAACAACCATTGGTTCCATCACCCACTCAGCTTTTGCTAGGTGTAATTCTCCCATACAATACCATGGATCCTGCCAGTTAACCCCTGAAAGTGTTCAGGGTGAAGAGAGAAGAGTGGAGCAAGGGTGGGCAGCTTTGGCAGGCCCGGGGGCCAGTGGTGTGTGTGTGTGTGTGTGTGTTGCTCTTTCCATGGCCTGGCCAGCCTGCACCTGCCAATTTTCCAAAACTGAAAGCGACCAGAAGGGGAAATAGACCTTCCGGGGGGTATGAAATGACTAATTGGGGTCTTCCCAGAGGCTTCTGGGGATGCAGTGGTCTGGGGCTATTTTGGGGGGGCTCGGGGGCCAGCCTTGAAGTGGAGGGAAGTAAGGAGTGGGGAAGGAGACCCATTTTGTTGCAATCCTCCTGCCCTCCCCAGCTCCCCCCCCCGCAACACAACTGTATATGTGTTTTCATGGCTTCCTCTCCCTCCCGCAGAATTACACCTCGTGCAACTGTGTCGTGGTCGACGGGGCGCTCGGATACGCCCTCCCCGGCAGCTGCAGCACCTACTGCTCCCGATTCCTGCTGCCTTTTGTGATCATTGCCTGCATCTCTGGATTCTTGGCGAGTCTCTCGCACACGCCGGCCTTTGTGATGATCCTCAGGTAGCTTGAGATATTAAAGAATAGCAGGTTAGGAATATTTAAATGACTGCCTTCTCTCTGTGGAAGGACTGAGGTGGGAAGAGGTGGAGGGATCCCCATGAATTCTCACGGCTGGCATTCAGAAAGTCCCCAAAAGTTACAGTTCTCTTCAGAAGGTCCAGCTGTTGTCTGCATTAATATTATGTGCATAGACAGCCTTCTCTTTCCAAGGGGTTTGCAGCCTAAGAGCTGACAGTGGGAGGGGAAAATCCCTGTAGGGTGCAAGGAGAATAAAACAGCACAGGACATAAGGAATCATGTCCAAAGCTGTTCTACTTGGTCCCCGGAAACCCTTCGTCATTTTCCTCTTCCCCCTTTTGCTTTCAGGAACGTGAAGCCCGAAGACAAGTCCTTCGCCATTGGAATACAGTTCCTGATGCTCAGAGTTCTTGGTGAGTCAAAACCAAGGGGTGTCCTGGTGTGGGGCCAGATAGGTAGGAAGGGTCTGTTACGAGGGGGGGGGCGCTGAATGTAACACCTGAAGGCAAACTGCCAGGGCAGAGGACAGGAAGATCCACAGCAGGTGCACTCCGTGGTGCCAGAAGCTGGGGAGGGAGGACTTAAAGGGCTTTTAGGGTGGGAGGTGGCATCTTAGCCTTACCAATCTCCTCCTCTCCCATGACCTGCAAGTACACAGGTGCCCATGACTGCAAAAACGAACCTTCCCATGCCCCTTGGGGTTAAAATGTAGGCATCCTTCAGTCTAACAGTTAAGGTTACTTGGTTTGAGCTCAGAATTCAATTTAAGGTTAAACTGGTGGGGGCGAATATTTAATAAGTTTTAGTGTAGGCATCCTTCCGTCTTGAGAGAAGATGGTCACGTGCTCTGTATGGAGGTCTTGGAACAGCATCTTGTGCGGCTGAGAAGGTCAATTCGAGAGTGACCATCCCTTCTACCCTGGAGACAAACACAATCTGTTCCCCGTCCAGCTCCCTGGTTTTGCTGGTTTCGGGACGATCTCTTGGCCTCAGCCTGCTGGACAAGGGTCTCTTCAAATTGGAAGAGGCCGTGACGCAACGCCTGCCTCCAGGAGCTGTCAGGGTTTTCCCATCAGTGTAATTCTTTACCTCCTTTCTCTCTCTAAAGCATTAAAAAAATGACCTGTCGGTTAGGGCTCAGTTCTGGCGGTGGAGGAGTTGCAGGGCGACAGTGAACATTCGGAGGGCGTTGCCTCTTATACGGTGTGGTCCTCGTGCTTCTTTTCCAGCTTGGCTGCCTGCGCCGGTGCTGTACGGCAGTGCCATTGACACGTCCTGCCTCCTCTGGCAAATTAAATGTCAAAAGAAGGCAGCCTGCCGATACTATAACAACACAGCCTTCCGGCAAAGGTAAGTCTTGCCGTATTTATTGCAGACCAATGGCAAAGGATGTTGGGGGGTGGGGTGGTCTGAGCGCACTTGTCCTTGCCAGGAAAATGGAAGAAGCCAAGTGGGAAAATACAGTCATTGGCTTACTACGTAGGAGTAAGTGCTTGGAAACACTTGGGGTTTTTTGGGCCAGAATCTGCCAGGTAAGGTGGGCGCTGGTGGCACCGAGAGAGGGTTCCTGGAGTTGTATTCTGAAGAAGCAGCCTCCCCACGCTCTGGCAGTGGAAAGTACTCACAGCCAGGAAGAAGGCTGAGGTGGAACATCCTTACTTTTTCTTCTCCCTCTCTGACCACCCCGTGTGGTCCCTTGAACTCACTCCTGCATGGGAACTTTGCTTCTTATTTGGGCCATCGATGGTGGCTCGTCAGCCTCGTTCACCAGAAAGTAGTAGCAGAAGACGGGGTCACGCCCCTGAAGACGCAGAAGGAACGTCTCTAGACACTGGGTTCCTGGGGCCTTTGGGCAAGAGAAGCACCAAACGGTGCCAGTATTGCAAGCTATTTTGACGCCAGAGGCAGAGTAAGGAATTATGCTACTCACCCCACAGATGCAAGCCAAGGGGAAATAGACCCCGAGCATGCCCCATTATTCTAACAGGTGGAGCAGAAATCTCATAATCCCCTCTCTCTCTAGCCCTATCTCCAGTATTTTCATCATTACACCTAAAATCAGCAGCCTGAGAGGGCTGCCTCCCTGTGTGGAACAGGAGGTCTGGCCTTAGTCCCTGCAGAGCTTTCAGGCTTATCTGAATGGAAGATCTGGTCCACGGTACCGATTCGATGGTACACTGGTTATAAGGATTTTTCTTGCCATCCAAATGACACAGAGTTTAAATCAGAACCAAGAGGTGACAAAAATTGCAAAATAACCCAACCTTCCAAACTACCTTCTCTGAGTGTCTTGTGTTTTTTTTAAATTCATTTTGTTTCAGTCATCATTTTTACTGTTGTTTTGCTTTGTCTGGGGGTGGAGTTCAGACAGCAACTGCTTCTTGGCCCCCAAAGTTCCAGTGTTAGCACTAATCAATGAAAACACAGAGAGAGAGAGAGAGATCTAGCACAGACGTGTACTCCTTAAAAGGCTGAAAGGCTTTTCTCGCCGTTTTTAGAAGGCTTGTTGTGAAAGACAGCTGATTTTCAAAACAGCTCAGTGGTGGGCTGGCCTAGGAAGCTGGCAGTGATCATGTGTTACTCTAAAAACACACACATTCGGCAAAGGACAGATCATTCTTAAAGCAGGTTTTCTAAACCACTCCTTTAAAAGATGCCAGTTCCTTAAATACAGAGAAAGTGAGGTTTTAGGAAGAAGGGTGGACAGAAGCCCTTGTCTGCTTCGTCACCTCCCAGTGTCTCACAGCATCTAACTTCACCACACAGGCATCACATATTTATACAGTACAGCCCCTCCTCCTGATGTCCCGCCTTCCACTCCCCATAGGATGGAACTTTCCCTCCAAACCCATGACAGACAGGTAACATCAGTGCTGTCTGTAACAAGTGGCACCACCACCACCCCCAGGATAAAAGGGGAGGAACCCCTGCGCCATCCAGATGAACCCACGTTGGGCGGATTGTGTCACACTGTCTCCAGAAGCCCTTGAAGGGCACCACAATGACCTGGGATAAGCAGTCAGGCAGGTGCAGAATGATGGGCCAATTCAACCGTACTGATTGACTTTCCTCTTTGCATCCTCAGGTTCGTCGGCGTCCAGATTTTATACGAACTGTCCTGCTTTTTGTCCTTTTGCATCGTGTACTTTCTTCTCATTCGGCAAGAGAAGCAAGCCCTGCAAGAGGAAGCCAGTGTGGGCCGGTCCCCCGAATCTGTCGCAGAGTCCCGCGTTTGACCCATGATGGGCAGGATCCCCAATTTCTCCTTGGGCAGAAGGCGGACTCCAGCTCTGTATGTCAAGCCTGCGTCCC